GAGAATCATCAATCAGCTGCCTCCTGCACACCCCCCCCCACTGGGCATGTGCCCGCAACCACGGTACATGCCCTTGACCGGAATTGAACCTGGGACCTTTCAGTCTTCAGGCTGACGCTCTATCCACTGAGCCAAACCAGTTTTGGCTGTGGTACAATTCTTATTACGTGTCCTTCCCCCTGTCACCCTACCCCTCTGCTCCCCACAGAGGTAATCACCATTAATGATGTTTATTTTATTCTCCCAGAAAAATTATAATACATATTCAGGCAGATATATTATGTGAATGTATGAAATACAAATTTCTGAGCTTCTCCCTTTTTTCTCAATAACATCTTAAAGATCTTTTCATATAAGCAACGGCCACATTCTTTTTAAAGGCATCCCATTATATATGTGCTACCGAACTCAAGGACTACACTACTTGGGTGTTCTATTGTGGCCCTGGCTGAGTAGCTCAGTTGCTTAGAGCATCCTCCTGATAGGCCAAGAGGAAGGGTTAAAGAGAATAAAACAGGGCAGAGAAAGACTTATTGTGCTTAGCAGATATCTTGCAGAAAGCTTGCAGCCTTGAGCACAGCACAGCTCAGATAACCAGAAGACACCTAGCATAAGAGGAACCAAGGACTTACCAGATCCTTACGTCAGCAGAGTGGCTTACAGCCAGCAAGGATTAACAAAAAAATATCTCCCCCTGCTCTTTTTGCTGATGCCTTTCCCGGTCTCAGCCCACCTGCACCCAGGTGGTCGGAATATTTTTTACGTTATGGCCTCATGTCATAGGTGCGTGACCCTGGCCCACTGAACCTGTCACCGAGGTTTCAGGCTTGATCCCTCCCTGGTCAGAGCGCATATTAAGACTCAACCAATGAATGCATAAATAAGTGGAAAAACAAATCAATATTTCTATCTCCCTTTTCCTTTCTATCTCAAAATATCAATTAAAAAAAATTAAAGATTAACAACAACATGTGGTGGTCAGGTGTGGTTGTTTTATTTACTTGCAGCAAGTTTAGGGCACAGGAGATTCACATTCAAAGCTCTGTCTCCCCAGGGGAGCCTTAGCCATTCCTTACACATACACTGGTTAATTACTCATTGATTTTTCCTTTTGGCTACATGTACCCATTGAGTGCCTGTCAGGCTCATCCTGTTTACAGCTGTATCTGCAAAATACTGGACTATATTTTAATGTTAACAAGAACATTTATTAAGAACCACCCTAACTTTAATCCTAATTTCGGGACCCTTGTACTATCTAACAAATGACTACTTCCATAAGGATTTGCTCTCTTCTGGACAATTAGATTGTTTTTAGCTCTCAACCCACACTCCTTAAAACACTAGGAGCTGGAATTTTAAAAGTGCCCCCCCCCCCCAACATTTCTCTTATTTCTTTGTTCTGCTTCATTCTGCTACAGACTCTTTTGGAAGGATGCTTTGCACGTTCTCACAATCACAAGATATTCTCTTTTTAAAAAATATATTTTATTGATTTTTTACAGAGAGGGAAGTTTAGCCTGGGGGGGGGGGGCTTATTTTCGGAGGATGCCTTATATTTCACTCAGAAGGAAACCTGTAAGTAGGTCTTATTTTCGGAGGATGTCTTATTTTCGGGGAAACACGGTAGGTGACAAGAAAGGGAGGAGGATTTGGGGGGCTGAAATTAAACAGACATTGGGCAGGTGTTGCAGTTTAGTTTTTTTGAGGAGATAGGGCATATGTCCTAGGGGGTGTTTTATCAGTATTTTCCCCAAGCCTATAAAACATGCTTAGAATAAAAGTTATGAAGAGTTCCAAAGAGACTTGTTTGAAGGGGAGAGGGAAAGGGAACTTTCTACTAACTAGAGCAGGGGTGGGGAAAATCTAGCCCTTGGGGCCATTATAAGGCCCGAGAAATCATTTGGTCTGGTCTGCCAAGGCATTAGGGCTGAATTATTAAATGTTTGGCCAAATCAGACTAATTTTTTGAAAAAAAATATATTTTATCGATTTTTTACAGAGAGGAAGAGAGAGGGATAGATTGTCTGAAACATGGATGAGAATCATCCATCAGCTGCCTCTTGCACACCCCCTACTGGGGATGTGCCCACAACCAAGGTGCATGCCCTTGACCGGAATCGAACCCGGAACCTTTCAGTGTGCAGGCCGACGCTCTATTATTGAGCCAAACTGGTTTCAGCCAAATCAGACTAATATTTAAGTTGATAATTTTGAATGGCCCTCTAATGATGTTATAAATATCCAAATGGCCCTTGGCAGAAAAAAGTTTCCCTGTCCCTGAACTAGAGATGCCTTGGTGAGAATTATCTCTGAGTTATAAAAACAGTAGGGAGTATGGGTATGCAAGAATGTTGCCATGAGAGTAGCTTATCTTGTCCAGCCATTTGAACAGAGAGGCTGTTTGAATCAGAGCAGCTAACAATCTTGAGTTTTACTTACCAGGTACTTCTCATAAATTGTGGAAGGCTACAGCAAGGAAAAAAAGAGGCCTTTTTCTTGTTCTAACACTTATCTTTAAATAGAAAAATAAGATACAATCATTTTTGTTTTTGAGGATTGAATTAGGGATAAATATGCCTTTTCTTTTTGAAATTTTGTACCTTGTTATAAAAATATTTGTTTATTATAGAAAATATAGAGACCATTGAAAGCTGCAGAGGGGGGGGGGAAGGAAAAATCATGCATAAGCAATATTTATGGATAGCCACTGTTAAACTTGACAAAATTCCTTTTAAGATAAAGTACAAAGGGATGGAAGGAAGATGAGAAGGAAAAAAAATGTTATTTCTTTTTCACTTAACGTGTTTTCTTTTATCAAAAGTTCTTTATAAACATTTCAGTGGACTGCATAATATTAACATCATACAGATAATTCTTTAAAACATTCTCTTGCTACTTAACATTTTGTTTCCAAATTTTTCTGATAATAAGTAACTGGGTCATCCATAAATCTTTGTCAACATTTTTCCTTCTTAGAGATAGAAACCTAGAAATGGGATTACAACAAACGTCAGAACATTTTAATGCTTTTGAGAGCCAGATTTACACTCTTAGGAGCTCTAGATGAAAATGTTATATCACTCTCACTATCATTAAGTATTTGGGTTTAAAAACTATTCATCATAAGTTTAAATGACTGCAATGTATTAAAGTGATTTGAAAACAACTAGCAACTTCAATTATTTTACAAGAGCAGTGTTCCTTACATGTTTTATAGTTATTTGGATAAAAGATTATATATATTATCCTTTTACTATATACATATATAGTAAAAGCATATATATTGGATACTTATAATATATAGTAAAAGCATAATATGCTAATTAGACGGGATGTCCTTTTGGACATCCTTCTGGACAAAGCCAGGATTTCGAGGGAAGCCTGGGTTGCAGGCTCAATTCCTAGTGTAGAGCGTGCAGGAGGCAGCTGATAAATGATTCTCATCATTGATGTTTCTTTCTCTCTCTCACCTCCTTCCTTCTCTCAAATCAATGAAAACACATCTTTTAAAAAAAGAAAAATGTAATTTATTTAAGGAAAGGGGATAGAGGATGGGATAGCCAAAGGGAGGGGCTGCACAGCACTGAGCCAAAAGGACATTGGGTTGATGATGGTAGCACCCAGGAGCTGGAGTTTCATCCTTACAGGCAGTCACTGGCAGGAAACTTTTGTCATCAGTGGGTTTGGGGGCCGAGGTGGTGGGCATGGAACGCAGGTGTGCGGTCAGGTGTCTTTAGAATAGTTTCGATTCCCTATATGGTCTGACTCGCGGTGTCCAGCAAGTTTCCCTGGTCTTTTGTTCTCCTGTGGTGGGAAGCTTACAATGGCCGTTAAGGATCATATTGCACTACAATCCTAACAGGATTACTTTATCAGTGGATATGCATTTTTAAACATTTCCAACTGTTTTTTTTTCCTAAACACTTAATTTCTTAGAGCAGTTTTAGATTCAAAGCAAAATGGGGAGCAAGGTACAAAGATTTCCCGTATACCCCCTTCCCCCACACATGCATAGCCTCCCCATTATCAACATCTCCTACCAGAGTGGTACATTGCTTACCGGTCCATCCCCTTCCTTAAATTAATTTTTCTTTATTTAAAAGACATGTTTTCATTGATTTCAGAGAGGAAGGGAGGAGAGAAACATGAATGCACTTTGGGATGCACTTTTAAAAGTATTTGTTGCTAAATCTCCTCTCCCCATCCCAAACCCCAGTAAACCAACTGGCACTCATTTGTTTACCAACAGGAAACTGGACATAAAAATAATATGTGCTCTCTACAAAAAATCTAAAGTTGAGAAAATAAATAGAACTTTTAAATAGCCCCAATACCTACAGAGAACACTTTTGGCCATGTGGTAAAGTTAATTTCAGCATATAATTTCTACTATTTTGAAGTGGATGTAGGATAAAAATAGAGAAAATTATTTTTCCCTGTTAGTGAAGCACAAAATACAATGCTATGCCAATAAATTAATTCACTCATAGTTCTCTTTTCCAGGAGTTTAGTTGAGAAATCTTTACCCTGTCAGAGATGGGAACGGGATTGGGGGTGAAAAAGGTGAAGGGACTTATAAGTACAAATTGGTAGTTATATAATAGGGGGATATAAAGTACAACATGACAAAATACAGTCAGTATTGTAATAACTTCATATGGTATCAGATGAGTACTAGATTTATCAAGGTGATCACTTCAGAAGTCAAATATCTAATCACGGGGTTTTACACCTGAAATTAATATAATGTTGTATTCAACTGTAATTTAAAAAATTTAAAAAAATATGTAATTTAAAGAATGTACCCTGTCAGATCTTTGGAGGAGCAATTTAGCCTTCTCACCTCCACGGCAACCCAAGGTTCCTTCGCCACGCCCCCCTAAGTGATTGATAGCGACTGCATCCAATAGGATATTTTAATGTGCGATTTCCAACCAATCGAATGGAAGCAGCGGCCTTGGGGCGTTACCACCGATGCAGATGCGGACAGCGTCCTCCCTACGTCGGTCTTGCGTCATCCGCCTGCGCCAAGGGCACGCTTGGCCCGCTTCGCCCCAGGGAGTCGTTGCTTTGTTGTCGCCGACAATGAGCTGCGCCGCGTTGATGGCGTCTGGCTCCCTGTGGCGGCTGTGCTTCGGTGCCCCACGACCCCTCTCAGGTAAAGGGGGAGCGCGGCCGCGGCCCCGCGCTGGGCGGGACTCCCGCCCGGGAGTGTTCGCCTGGGGTTTGGACCGGCGAGGTCACGGGGGAGACGTTTACGGTAACGTCACAGGACTGCGACGGAGCGCCACTGCGAGGCTTGAACCTCGGGGTGCCGACGGCTAGGGGGCGCTGTTGTGCGCCGCGGGGATGCGGGCGTGGTTTTCCACGAGGACTCCCAGGGGCGGCCTCTCGGGGGTTCCGGGCCGACAACAGTTGCGGGTTTTGAAAGTTCAGGGCCCCGGGGTGTCCTCGTTGCCTCCGCTCAGGGCCTTGTCACGCGACCGGCGTCTGCTGCCCCCACCCCCACCCCGAGATTGTTAGAAATGCAGATTCCCAGGTCACTCCACTGACCTGCTGGGTGCTCTACCAGTCTGTGGTATTTTTTTTTATTAATTTTATTATTTTTAAAATATATTTTATTGATTTTTTACAGAGAGGAAGGGAGAGGGAAAGAGAAACATCGATGAGAGAGAATCATCCGTCAGCTGCCTCTTGCATACCCCCTACTGGGGATGTGCCAGCAACCAATGTATTGTACATGCCCTTGACCGGAATCGAACCGGGACCTTTCGGTCCGCTGGCTGACTATCCACGGAGCCAAACCGGTTTCGGCAGTCTGTGGTATTTTAACACGCTCTTGGAATGGTCTGTGTACATTAGAAAGTTTGAGAAGCACCAGGGTAGTTGAAGGAGCATCGAATTTGCAGAAGGGAGACTTGGGTTTGTGTCCTGGCTTCTTTTCTTGGTTCATTTGAGCGGCTTCAGAAAATGGTGAGGACGTTTTCTGCAAGTGAAGTTGTTCGTGTACCACCTTTAGGATTTTGCCTAATAGCAATATCACTTGTACTTTTGATTATTAAATATATTTTATAACCGAATTCCATTTTTTAAATTAAATAATTTCAGGGAAAGTAAATCCTTATGATAAACAGAAGACCTATATTGCCTGCTCCAAATCAAGTAATCATCAAATAATCAAACCAAAAAGTGAAACCAAAAAGTTATTAAATGTATACGATGCTGTGGCCTGCTATTTCCTGGTAAAATAGGGAGATTAGCCTTAGCCAGTTTTGCTCATGGGTAGAGCATAGGCTTGCAGACCAAAGGGTCCTGGGTTCAATTCTGGTCAAAGACATGAACTTCAGATGCATGAAGCAACCAATCGATGTGTTTCTCTTACATTGATATTTCAGTCTTTTCAACTCTAAAAATGAATAAAAAAATATCCCCAGGTGAGGATTTAAAAATTTGTTTTGAAAGGGAGATTACCAAGTGTTAGGATTTGTCAGCCATAAATAGACCATTGCCCTTGGTTAAATCAAAAGGGCTGGAAGAGAATTTAACAGAGAATAATAACTTACCACACGGACAATATTTAATGTACAGATTATAAGCCATGTAAGATCTTCCTATATACCACTTACAATCTTCTGGGTAACATTGGTATATGTTTCACACTTTGGAAAACACAAATATAAAAACGATGCATTTGAGAGCTTCTACAACAGGCCCTCAAGTTTGTTTGTTTGTTTTTTAAGTGTGTGACCATACAGGCAAAACTCAGGATTGTTAAACATGAATTGTAACGTTTCTTTGTTGAGCCAGTGGGCATAACAGAATAAAAACCTTTTTTCATTTATAAAGTTATCTTGCTTTCTATAACTCATTTTATCTTCATGGTAACTCAGTAAGAAAGGTTTTGTTATTGTATGTTTCCCTTAAAAGGGAAATAACCTGATTATTACCAATTTGTATGTAAGAAATGGTAATTCTGATTTGTCCAAAGTTAGTGATCGAGACAAAACATATTTTCTGGCCCTACCTCTGTGCCTTTTCTAAGGTCCCTTCATGCTTACTAAAGACACCTTGCAGAGGTTGTGAAAAGATAGAAATGGCAAATGTTATGATACTCAATTCTCCACGTTACCTCTCACTATGGATCATTTATTAGCTCCCTGAATCTGGAAATATAGTACAGGCCTAGGGAACAATCTAGTATGTTTAAAAAACAAAACAAAACATTTTATTGATTTTTTTACAGAGAGGAAGGGAAAGAGATAGAGAGCTAGAAACATTGATGAGAGAGAAACATCGATCAGCTGCCTCCTGCACACCCGCGACTGGTGATGTGCCTGCAACCAAGGTACATGCCCTTGACCGGAATCAAACCTGGGATCTTTCAGTCCGAAGGCCGATGCTCTATCCACTGAGCCAAACCGGTTTCGACGATCTAGTATGTTTTTAGTCTAAATATAATGCTCCTCAGAAAAAATCAGCTGTGTGTTGGAATTCATCCTATGTATTTTTTAAAAAGTGTGTTGGTTTGTGTTTTTTTAAATGAGTTGTCTGTAAACTTCTTTCCCATTGACATGTTATGGGGGGGGGGGGTGGGGAGGTAACAAAAGAAAGAACAAGCAAACAACATTAATTTGAGAAGTAGAGCCAGCTCATCATTTTCAGTGTCGATTCCTGGATAAATATTTTGTCCCATCTTCTATAATAAAGAGCTAATGTTCTAATTAGACCAGACAGCAGAATGACCTTCCCCAAGGAGCAGTGGGCAGGCAGTGGGGCTGTGAGGCAGCGGGGCTGCGAGGGCTGCGCCCTTTGCACGAATCCCGTGCGTGGGCCTCTAATCTTTCTAGAAGAAGGCCAGCTTGATGAGAGCGCCAGTCTTTGGACTAGGAGGCAGAAACTTGCAAGAGGCTAACCTTGACTTTATCAAATGTCTCAAATTGTTCTCCACATAAAAATATGGCCACAGTTAACATTGACCCATTGTCAGAAGGCACAGAACTGGGCAGTACATTATACCTGGCAGAATTTGGAGTGCAGGAACTAGAGTCTAGTTTCTTGAGTCAAATATGCTCAGTGAGGTGGAGCGAGTTGTGCAGTGGAGTAGACCAAAGCTGGGTCACCATGCTTCAGACCTCCATGCCCTCCCTCACTTGTGTTTAGTGAGGCATTTAAAACTCCACCTGGCCAAAAAGTTCAAATGCAGAATAGTTCAAATTGACCCTAAATCCCACCAGGCCTACCCCATCACCTTATGTCCAAAGCACTCAAGCTTTTTAATGAAAAAACTACTAATGTACCCCAAATGGAAAATTTTTTTTTTCCAACACATTTTCTGGGTGTTGAAGTTAAACTAAATGAAAAAACTAAAAGAAAAATATCTGTTAAAGACAGAAAGACATGGTTGACATACATAAGGCTTGGAATACATCTCAAGGTGATTCCAATGCCGGTTAAAGTTCACTTTACAAACTAAATATTTTCTCTGGGTCTCCATTTCCATGTCTGCAAAATGGACTGATGACAACGTACATACCTAAACACATTACAAAACTGTTCCCTCAGGGGAAAGCCTTTTGGGATACCACCATATGAGGCTGAGAATACAAACCCAGGTGTCACTATTAGCAAATTTTTAAACACAATATCTAATCTGTCCTGAAGAATTTACATTTTGAAGGCAAGAATAATTCAGTTGAGTTGGATCTATACCATAATGAGATGAAACCTAAGTTCTAAAGCTTATTTATCAAAATCAGATGCTCATGGGTATAGGTATTTTAAGAGAATTTAAATCTATGGTTCTCAACCTTAGCTGCAGAGAAGATTCCTGTACAGAGCTTTTTTAAAATACTAGTGTCCCCTTCCAGAAGTCAATTGGGGAGGAGCATTCATGGTTTTGAAAGCTCCCTAGAAGGTTCTGTGTAGCCAGGGTTGGGAACGAAGTGGGCCCTGAGGGGTGAGTGAACTAGAGTGGTGGTCGCCAACCTTCCGGACCTCACGGATCAACAGTGGTCCTCAGACCACCGGTTTGAGACCAATGAACTAGGTCACCATGCCTATCTAGAGCCAGCTGCCACATTGACTGCCTTAGGAGAAGTTAGACTCAGCATTTCCATATCTTCATACACTTAAACCAGAAATCCAGATGTTTAGGTGAAGTCTTTTGATTTAAGTGTAGGTAACAGTCACTTCTTTTAAAAACCAATACTGCAGGATAAACAATACACTTAAGGGCATGTCAACTAAGGGGAACTCATTTGTTACCTTTGTTCTAAGGTACTGCTTCCTTCCGTCTGTAAAAAGAAACATCTCAATTTTACTTGAGAGTAATGAAGAATAAACACTTGCATTGCAGCTTATGGAAGAAGAATTAGTGTCAGATTTTGCAGCTCAAGAATGACTTTAGACAATATCAATCGGGCAGCTGTGGATCGAATTATCCGTGTGGATCATGCAGGTGAATATGGAGCAAACCGCATCTATGCAGGGCAGATGGCCGTCCTGGGTCGCACAAGTGTCGGGCCAGTCATTCAGGTAAGTGCTGCTTTATGTCTCTCAGCCTGGTCCACTGAACAGGGCTTACTGGGGTGGGGACCCAAAGGCCTTCAAGTAGTGAATCATATCAGGTCATGTATTCCTAGGGGACGTACTCTTTATCCCCAAATGAGTAAAAATTGGATATTGGGGAGAGAAGAGTGGAAAGAATATTATTCTTTCTACGTATAGATTACAGATGGACATCCTATATAATAAAAGCCTAATATTGCTAAGTGTCTGACCGTTTGTTTGACTGTTTGACCAGTCGCTATGATGTGCACTGACCACAAGGGGGCAGACACTCTGACTGGTAGGTTAGCTTGCTGCTGGATTGGAACTGGGGGAGACGGACCATACATGCCCTGGATGAATCTGTGCACCAGGCTTCTAGCTTAGTACATAAACAGATAATACAGTATATCTGTAGTAGTAAATTTTTATAGTGGGGGTGGGTGATAATGAAAAAGGGGTCAAGCCCTAGCCTGTTTGACTCAATGGATAGAGCATTGGCCTGCAGACTGGAGGGTCTCAGGGGTTTTTTTGTGTGTGTGTTTTTAAAAAATATATTTTATTGATTTTTTTTTTTTTTTTTTTTACAGAGAAGAGGGAGAGGGAGAGAGAGTTAGAAACACTGATGAGAGAGAATTTGATCAGCTGCCTTCTGCACACCCTCTATTGGGGATGTGCCTGCAACCAAGGTACATGCCCTTGGCTGGAATCGAACCTGGGACCCTTGAGTCCGCAGGCCGATGCTCTATCCATTGAGCCAAATCGGTTTAGGGCAAGGGATTCTCGAGTTTGATTCCAGTCAAGGACACATGCCCAGGTTTTGGGCTCAATTCCTAGTAGGGGCCATGCAGGAGGCAGCTGATCAACGATTCTCTCTCATCAATGATGTTTCTATCTCTCCCTCTCTCTTCCTGTCTGAAATCAATAAAAAAAATATTAAAAAAAAAAAAAGAAAGAAAGAAAGAAAAAGGATCGATTCCGATCAAGGGCATATACATTGGTTGCAGGCACATCCCCGGTGGGGGGTGTGCAGGAAGCAGCTGGTCGATGTTTCTCTCTCATCGACGTTTCTAGCTCTCTCTCTCTCTCCCTTCCTCTCTGTAAAAAAATCAATAAAATATATTAAAAAAAAAAAAAAAGAAGAAAGAAAGAAAGGAAGGAAGAAAGAAAAGAAAAAGGGGTTGAGAAACAGCTTTAGGTAAAAGTACCAGTTGTGAGAGGTTGCACTCCTGCCCCCAGTGGAGAGCTGCGGAGATATTAAATATTTTATATTGAGAAGCAGAAGGAGAGACCTCACTTTGTACTCACACAGACCCAGCTTCACAGTCAACTCTCCCACCCGCTACTGTGTGTCCTTGGGGAAGTCACATAACCTCTAGGTCTTCAGTTCCATATTTGCAAAATGGGCTGATGACACCTACCTCATTGGGTTTTGGTGAGGACTATATGGCTGGTATGGAGCAGCTTGATACCATGCCTGGCATGTAACAGACACTCAGCATGAGTTAAATTGCCTTTTCTGAATCCTCAGGCAAGTTTCTTCACCTCTCTGTGCCTCACTTTCCTCGTCTGTATAATGGGAATAATAATGGTTTGTCCTTCACAAAGTGGTTGTGCAGCTTAAATGAGTTGCCTACATTAAACTATTTGACCGTGCCCGGCAGTTAGGAAGTGCTGTGTGTTAGCTGTTATTATCATCCACCCTTTCTTCTCTGATGTACGTGATACTTTTATGCTAGCAATCTGGAAGGAAATTATGTGATACCCGATATTCTGCCCTCCTAATTTTAAATGAGCTAATAAACAGCTCATGTAAGTATGGCTCCACCTTTTCTAATAGGCACTTTGTGGGTCTGAGGGCTTCTGCTAGAATCGTGGTCATGGATAGGACATGTAGCTTCCTTGGGATGCAGCGGAGGCCTGCATGGGAGGCCTACATGTTCTTATTGTTATGTTTCTTACAGAAAATGTGGGATCAAGAAAAGGAACACTTGAAAAAGTTCAGCGAACTGATGGTTGCATTCAGGGTCCGGCCGACGGTTCTGATGCCCTTCTGGAACGTGGTGGGGTTTGCGCTAGGTGCGTGCCTGTCCAGAGAGCTTATGGGAGCTGGAAGGTCTGGGATGAACATATCCTTTAAGTGCCGCTTCACAGTTCTTGCTGTGTTCTTTTATGGTCTTTTTTTAACTTAATTTTTTTCTGAAGTTAAATTGGCTGACTTTTTTTCCTCTTAAATTTATTTAAGATAAAACCTTAAAATCAGCAGTTTTATAAATAAGAGATACAGTAAAAATAGATACAACACAGGGGAAAACAAAACTTGTAGCCAGATAATGTTTCCTGACAAAGTTGCTCGCTCTTAAAAAGGGAGAAAAGTAAATGGTATAGGAGGATCAAAGGCATATCCCAAAGGACAACTTTCTCCTTGCCACAGTCAGTTAGGGAGAACATTGAAAAGAGAATAGCCTTCTTATCGCACTGTGACCTGGTACCACCTAAAACAGTGGTTTTCATGGGGTCACATTGCTCTTGAGGACACTTGGCAATATCTAAAGACATTTGGGTGTCATATCTGGGAATGCCACCAGCATCTCATGGGTAGAGGCCAGGGATGGTGCTAAACATACTACGATGCATGGGACAGCCCTCACAACAAGGGACTGATTATCCAGCCCCAACGTTTGTACTGCTCTACTTTAACGGTGTCAGTCCCCTCCTTTACTGCCTGGCTTTGACAATTCCAGGCGCAGGAACTGCCCTGCTTGGGAGGGAAGGAGCGATGGCCTGCACTGTGGCCGTGGAAGAGTCCATAGCACATCACTACAACAACCAGATCAGGACACTGATGGACGAGGATCCTGAAAAATACAAGGAGCTTCTTCAGGTATTTGACTACACTCTGAAAAGGGCTGATAAAGGGGGAAAGGGGCAGACATGCAATTTAGTAAGAAGGAGGAAAAATAGAACATTAGGAAATTGTGGGACCTTACAATCTAGGTCAGCACCTCATTTTAAAGGCAAGCAAACCAAGTACTGAGAGCTGAAGCTGTGTGCCCTGGTCACATGCTGGGCAGATATCAGAACCCCATCTCTTCTGAGCCTGGACCTGTATTCTCTCCACTTCTGGATTATTGGTAGGTCCTGAGCAATGCTGTTAGCACAAACCCTTCAGATTAAATGACCTAAAAGATACCCTCAGATTGTGAAAAACAAATAAATAATCCTTTAAAATTTTTACAAAAAATAAAAGATACTCTCAGATAATTTCCCACAGCATGTAAGGGAGCAGATTCAGATCTGGCTTTTTAAATTTATTTTCTTTTTTAAAATATTTTTATTGATTTCAGTGAGGAAGGAGAGGGAGAGAGAAATATCAGTGATGAGAGAGAATCATTGATCAGCTGCCTCCTGCATGCCCCCTACTGGGGATTGAGCCTGCAACCCAGGCATGTACCTTTGACCGGAATCGAACCTGGGACCCTTTAGTCCACAGGCCAACACTATCCATTTAGCCAAACTAACTAGGGCAGGCCTGGCCTTTTTTTTTTTTTTTTTTTAACTATATTTTATTGATTTTTTACAGAGAGAAAGGGAGAGGGATAGAGAGTTAGAAACATCGATCAGCTGCCTCCTGTACACTCCCTACTGGGTATGAGCCTGCAAGCAAGGTACTTGCCCTTGACTGGAATCGAACCTGGGACCCTTGAGTCCACAGGCTGACGCTCTATCCACTGAGCCAAACCGATTAAGGCATGGCCTGGCTTTTTTTAAAGCCTGGGTTGGTAAACTATGGCCTGTGACTGACCACCTGTTTATGTAAATAAAGTTTTGTTGGAACACAGCTATACCCACTTGTTCAAATGTCCATGGCTGCTGTCCCCTCTACAATGGCAGAGTTGAGTAGATATGGTAGGGACCATACAAAGCTAAATATTGCTTCTGTCTCTTTATAGGAAAAGTTTACTTACCCCTATCTTAGATGATAATATGAGTTTTTAGTCTCTCTCGGAGAGTTGGAATGCTGACTTCTATTTCTTTTTATTTAACCAGGTGATAAAGAAATTTAGGGATGAAGAGCTGGAGCACCATGACATAGGCCTTGAACATGATGCAGAACTGGTGAGGACCTACCTTTACTGTTGCTTGTGGTGCTTTGGGTACCTTATTTGGAAGGCTGCGGGGTGGGAAGGTATCTGTTCCCACAAAAATGGATTTCAAAGTGACCGCCAAAGAAAGAAAACCAATGCACTGCTTTGACAAAGAGCAAGCTCCCAATTGGGAAACTTCTTACTTCCTCCTTATTTTCCCTGGCAGCTCCTTTTCCCTTTCCAGTGAGAAACTAGATGACTCAATGCTTTGGCAGCAGCGGAGGCATTCTAATCTTTTGACTAGTTCACCCCCCCAAATTAAAGCATATTATCTCTTAGATCTTCTTTCTTCTCCAGAGAAGACCCAGTCCTGCCAGGCACATCTCACAAGTAAAAATGAACATAGTCTGGCCGGTGTGGTGCAGTGGTTGAACATCGACCTGTAAACCAGGAGTTCACAGTTCGATTTCCAGTCAGGGCACTTGCCTGGGCTATGGACTCAGTCCCCAGTATGGGGCAGGCACTTCCTCTCTGAAACTGATTAATATATATATATTTTTAAAAAGTGAACATAGAACGTGTTTCTTTTGCTTGCTTATGGTCTTTAACAGGCTCCAGCATATGCTGTTTTGAAGAAGGCTATCCAGGCTGGGTGCAGTGCAGCGATATATTTATCAGAAAGATTTTAAGGTATGTCCACTTTTCCCTGTCTGTAAAAGATGATAGTAATTTAACAAGTGATGGTGGCGGAAAAGTAAATGCAGTTATTGTTACTGAGCAAGAGCTTACTGTCCCACACGCATGGGAGCCAATGCTGTGACGTCATCGTTTGAGAAAAGAAAAGGCTTTAATTGTGAGGTCCACTGGCAATGAGACTGGAGGCGAGGCTCAAATCTGTCTCCCTGGTGAGGGTTTCGGGCTACGGTTAAAGGAAGGAGCAGTGGATTTTTGTGTATTTATAGGGTTACATTGACTCCACATAATAAGAGCCTAGTATGCAGATGCTTGGGAATCACAGCTTTTCATTCATTGAATGTTTGAATTTAGAGGGAGGGGTTTGTAGTCCACAGTGGATTTTGACCTGGTGTCTTTGAAAAGTTATTTTAGGGTAAATTTTTTCTCTAGTGTGTTGTCCTACTATTCCAGTACATAGTTTGCAGTCTTATTCTGCTAACTCTGAAAAACAAGTTAGTATTTCTTTTTTTTAAATATATATATTTTATTGATTTTTCACAGAGAGGAAGGGAGAGAGATAGAGAGCTAGAAAGGTCGATGAGAGAGAAGCATCGACCAGCTACCTCTTGCACAGCCCCTACTGGGGATGTGCCCGCAACCAAGGTACATGCCTTGACCAGAATCAAACTCGAGACCCTTCAGTCCGCAGACCGACGCTCTGCCACTGAGCCAAACCGGTTTCGGCAGAGGTTTGTTTTTTAATAAAACTCCGGTGGTGATTTTTGTGTATGCCATAAGGCTGACAGTTCAGGTGCATTCAAATTTTAGCAAACAAAGCTGGTCAATGTTTGGGCCATAGCTAATTTTTCCCTAAAGCATCAAGAATAAATTATTAAGAAAGTTATAGGAGCCGAAGCCGGTTTGGCTCAGTGGTAGAGCATCGGTCTGCGGACTGAAAGGTCCCAGGTTCGATTCCGGTCAAGGGCATGTACATTGGTTGCGGGCACATCCCCGGTAGGGGGTGTGCAAGAGGCAGCTGGTTGATGTTTCTAACTCTATCTCTCTCTCCTTTCCTCTCTGTAAAAAAAAAAAAAAAAAAAAAAAAGAAAGTTATAGGAATATAAAGGAAAAATTGTAGCTTATTGGTAATAAAAGGAAATTGAAAACACAAGGGTATTTATGTTTGACACAAAGCAAGACTGTCAAGTTCATCAGGTAAGTGGAAGACTCATTGTTTCTTTTTTAAATTGTGGATTCTTCTTTTGGAGAATATATTAAATTTTGGATTATTTGCGAATTTGCGTTATAATAATTTTCTTTAGGGCTGTTACCAAAATATGGACCAAAATGGACTAAACTTTTCATACTGTGTCTTTTGTGATTTGCACATTTTTAAGTAATTGTGAAAAACCTAGATCAGTGATTCTCCTCTCAATTCGAATGTCCTGAGGAGCTTTTTCCAGATGGCAAACCAAAGATTCAGGATTAGAGAGGGGCCCAGGATCAGAATGGTTTCCAAAGCTCCTAGGTGATTCTAATGTGAGTCAGGACTAGGGACTCCTGGCCTGGCCTCTTAAGCTTCTTGTGGAGAAGAATTACAGCATTAAGGCTTTTGCCTTTCTGGGTTTAATCAGCACTGCCTGATGGGGGATGACTTGCCTCCTAGGGGTCCAGTTTTGAAGAATAGTGGACACTGGGATAGTTTGGTTTAGTCAACTTCTCTTTTCCTAAAGCAAGAGTGAGTTTAATTTATGTGATAAGTAAATCAGTCTTCTGATGATAATTGCAATAAGTTAAACATGGGAGAGAAAGGTTAAAGATAATTTAGATCTTCAGCTCTTCAGTGCTAGGTTACAAACAGACACCTGCAGTGTAGTTTAGTATAATTATTTAACAACTGAAAAGCCAAATTTCTACACAGTGACTGCTTCATGCCTACATTGTTTTATAAATGTTCATTTTATGTCTTTTCTATATAAGACAAAGAGGGCAAATAATCTTTTCCACTCCCTGACACATTGTAGGTGCCCATTTAAAGGAAGGAAGACAGGAAGGAATGAAGGAGAAGGAAAAAGGAAAAGAGGAGAAAGGAGTAGGTGAGGGAAGGGTCAGGATGTTACTAAGGCCCGGCCAGTGTTGCTCAGTAATTGAGCTCAGTCAGGGCACATGCCCAGGTTGCAGGCAGCTATGGATCATTCTCTCATCTTTGATGTTTCCATCCCCCTCTCCTTTCCTCTCTGAATTCAATAAAAACATATTTTAAGAAAAAGATCTTAAGCAGTTGCAAAACTGCTATGAAAATGGCCTCCTATGCTGTTCCCCCTCTCCTTTGGATCTCGATGCTGGTGGTATTTGTTCTTTAATCTTTGAAGTGCTGGTAGTATTTGTTGCCCTCATGTCAAGGCTAATTTTGTAAGGATTGCAGTCAGGAATCTTAGGCATATGAAGGCATTTTGCACAATCCTTATTAAAAGCCCAGATTTGTTGCTGTTTGTTTAACATCCCCTTCAGAATTGATGGCTGATGCTTTATGCTTGAGAGCTTCCAAAACAAGACCAGAGAGATTTTATGGATTTCCCTTTGGTTGTTTTTTATTTCATTACAGCTTGTCCTCATGTATTAACAGGGTAATCTTGTCTTTCCCTTACTTTACTGCTCTGACCTTTCAGGGAAAATGAGATTTTAAAATTGGACATCATCCAAAGGATGGCAACATGACAAAGGATGTTATTCTTGCCAGCAGTATTGTTCCAAAGACATGATCTGAGCTATCATTCTTTGCATAGGTGATTTTCTCTCGACTCAAAGTGTGGTCCAAGACCAACAGCAGTGCTATCAACTGTGAGCATGTTCGAAATGCCAAACTTTGGGCTCCTCCCCAGACGTACTCAATCAGAATGTGCATTTTAATATTGTGTACTCCAAACCCAGTGGTGGTTTTAAAGTATGTCCACAAATTCCTCAAAACTCCTCTGCTCATCCGAACCTAATTCCCCTTGCCTTGAGATGGGCTGTCCTTAGTGGCTTGTTTCTAGCAAACAGAATATAGTGGAAATGATGAAGTATGACTTCAGGGCTGGTAGGTCATAAAAGACACTGCAGCGTCTACTTTTCTCTCCAGGATCACTCACCCTGGGGGAACCAGAGGCCATGTGATGAGGACATTCAGGCAGGTACTCTGTGAGAGGGCCACATGTCCAAGGACTGAGGCCCTCTGCCAACAGTCATATTTGTGCAATATCTTGTGGTGAGCCCCTCAGCCCCATTGAGAGGGGGCAGGCTGCAACCAACATCTTGACTGCAACCTCAGGAGAGACCCAGAGCCAGAATCACCTGGTTAAGTCAGTTTTGAATTCCTGACTCAGCAACCATATTAGATAATAACTTTGTTTTCAGCTGCAGAGTTCTGGGCTGATTTGCTAAACAGTAGATAACCAATATGTAACATTTGCAGGTGATTGGAAGCACAATAAAGTTTGAGAAGCACTGAACTAGACCATGAACTAGCAGGCAGAGACTGTCTTAGTCCTTTCCATGTCTCCAGAACTTAGCACGATGTCTGACGCTCAGTAAATCTTTCTTAGACTAAATACAAAGCTAAATTGCCTCTGGGTGTTTTGTGTTGTTTTTTATTTATTGATTGATTTTAGAGGAAGGGAGGGAGAAACATCAGTTTGTTTTCACTTATTTATTCATTCATCGGTTGTTTCTTTGTATGTGCCCTGAGCAGAGATCGAACCCACAACCTTGGTGTATGGGGACGATGTTCTAACCTGAGCTACCGGACCAGGGCTAAATTGCCCTGTTTTAAAAGATTAAAACTTTTTTTGTAATAATGCATGTGTGAACATGGTAAAATTCTCCATATGTGCAGTGACAGGTAAATCTCCATGTAGATTGCTTGTTGGCAGGTAACCGACCACTTGCCTTACTTTGTAGTTAACTATTAGCAATCTGCCATATAGGACAGCACATTTTTTTCTTTCTTTTTTTCCCTTCCAAAAGTAATGCTTGCCGCAAAATCAAACAGTGTAAACTACATATAACTAAAAAGAAAGCACCCCTTAGAAGAAACCACTGTTGATAATTCATTGTGTGCCTTTCCAGATGAAAAACCCCAACACGACCTTCTATCCACACATGGACATGTTTGGGTTTGTGTTGTTCCTCAAATGAAGTGATACTGTGCATCTAGATCTGCAATTTGCCTTTTTCATTCAGTGACCTACTTGGCCATCTTTCCAAGTCAATATGTATAGATCTACCTCATTCTTTTAATTGGCAGCAGTACTTTTCTTCCCTTTTACAGCTGAGCCACTGTGGCATCGTGCCAGCTCCTTACCTGCTCAGACTATGTACTGTTTTAACTGCTTTACCCCTGAACTCTCAGGACCACCCTATGGGACCCGCACTCTCCTGGTCCCCCTATTTACAGAGTGTGCTAGGGGCTGAAGAGCTTGCACTTAACCCGGAAGCTATCCGGCCTCTTCCTGTTCCCTCTCTTACCCTATCCGTGGACCTTGTGGTTATTAAAAACAAACTTTGGGGACCTCTAATGTCAAGGGGACCACATTTGAACATAGCTTCCATGAAATTTCAGGAGGAGGGACCCCTGTAGTTCTTAATCCTTTTGGAGATCCCATACTTCCTTGAGAATATAATAAAATCTCTGGACCCCCCCACCCAGACTCCTAAAGGCCCTCCTTAGGACCCTGGGATCTGAGTGATTTGTGGAGAAGAAAACATGACCTTTCCCTACAGGAGGGAGAACAAAAAACCTTTTCTCAAAACCACCTTTTTTGGCTCTGCCAGAGCACAAAGCACTTTTCTATTGAATATGTTTTCAACTGTTTAAAAGGCCCCTCTTGCCTTTGGGATGTATTTCCTTCCACTCCTGCCTCCTGAAATGGCAGCCCTACAGGACTGTGACTGAACAGGAGGGGCCCTTTGATCCTGGTTCAAGAAGAAAGATCTGCTGCTGGGCACGCCAAGGGCAAGGAAGGTCTAGGGCTTCC